AAAAAAGAAAGTCTTCCTTCTACACCATACTTTCAATCACTAGTCTCCTTTTCATAGGAGGGAGGCGTTCCTCCTGGAAATATCCTATGCACACACAATGAGAGCATACTTTCATTTAACAACACATCTACCGAGATCTTCCATTTCAGTACCTGTTGATCTAGTGTATTCTTTTTAGTGGCTCCATGGTTTTCATCCTGTAGATGTTCCATAATTCACTTAAGTAATATTTCATTGATGGATATTTTGGTGGTTTCCAGATATGTACTTTTGCACAAATATGAAAATAATTGTAGGTAACATTCCTAGAAATGACATTGCTCATTGAAGGGTGTGTGAATTCTGAATTTTGATAGCTACAGCCAAATTGCTTTCCAAATAGTTTGTACTCATTTACTTGTCTACAAAAAGTATATGTATGATAGTGTCTTTTCCCATACACCCTCATCAACATAAGGTATTATCAATTTTTGGTTTTTTGTCAATGATAGGTAAAAAAGGTATCTCGCAGTTTTGACATGCATTTACCTAATTCTAAATGAGTTGCTTATCTTTTCCTATATTTCATAGATTAAGGAAATCTACTTCCTAATTTATAGGTTAAGGAAAGTCTCCATTAGTTTATCAAATATATGTAAATATTTTTGGCAGGATATTAGCATTCAGATTGCTTTAACCTGTAAATTTATTATTCTTCCCCCTCCTTTGCTTCCTGCACTGGAAAGATATAAAGCAAATACTTTCCCCACTTCCAATAAGAGTGCCTTTTAGGAAAGTGCACCTCATTTTTCCATTGCTTTTGGTCTAATGTCCTGCTATAACAACAGAGCAAGAGGAAAAGAGGGTTTTTCAGAAAGCCTTAAAAGGTTGTGGGCATTGGGGGAGGTGGGGGAGGAGGTAGTATGAGGTGCATGTAGGGGACACAGGAGCTGAGACTTGATCCCCAGAAGTTGTCCAAGAAGGGAGAGGACTGCTGCCTGGAAAGGAAAAAGTCAAGCTGGGCCTGGCAGGTACCACATTAAGGGATAATGTGTCCCAGAAGCTGCCTGAACTCTGTGACAGTGCCTGCAGACCCGGTACCTCACGTCATCTGTGCCAGGTGCGCTGTGCTTCCTGGGCTGTTGGTTCACAGCATCAGATCCTACAGTGGAATAGTGATTGTCAAGCAGGGGTGATGATGCTAGGGCTGACCCCAAGGCTTTGCTTGGTCCCCAGCTGGGTATATGTCTCTCTCACATCTCCTGTAAGCCCAAGAAAATGGGGTAGAAGAGTTTTGATGCCAATCACGTAGGTGAGCCCCTCTCCCCCCACCTTCACAGATGGGAGGAGGGTTGAACTAAAACAGATCCAGACTCCTTTGCTGGAATAGTGGTTACTAATGCTCATTACACATTACTGCTATTTGACCTAAACTTTGTTTAGAGTATTTTGGATTTTGTGCATATATTTAAATTTTTTACATGGTAAAATTTATCAGTTTTTTTTCTTTTATAGCTTTTCTTTTACGGATTTATGTTTAAAAGTTTGACCAACCTTGAACTTATTCTAAGAGAGCCAACTTTTTCTTTCCAGATGATGGAAAAAATGTCCATCATACTTAAATACTCCAGCTTCTCCTCACTGACCTGAAATGCCCCTTTATCATACATTAACTTCATATATATATCTATTCATTCTATCTGGTAAAGCCACACCTTCCCACTGCCCTTCTTTTTCTAATTTTCACAGAACCCCTACAGTTTTTCCCCCCATATTCCCAAATTTAAGGGTTTGCATGTCTATTTCCCCTCAATCTTGATGATATTTTTCATTGGGATTACATTTATTAATCAATTTAGAACAACTTTGCATCTTAAAATATTGTGTCTTTTTCTGTATAAGCACATGTGTAGATTTATTTGTCTTCTTCTGCATCCCACAGTAGCATCTTCAAATTTCCGTCAACAGCTCTTATATATTTCTTGCTAATTTTATTCCTAGATATTTAATCATTTCGCTGAAAATGTAAAATAGATCTTTTCTTCCAACATACTTTCAAAATAGTTGTTGAGTGTATATAGAAAAGCAACGACTTTTGTAACAATTTTAACTAGTCACTTTACTGAATACTCCTATTGTCTGTAATAGCTTTTCAGAATATTTTCTTGGGATTTCTAACTATATAACCATTTTACCTGTATAAAATAATAACTTTATCATTGCTTTTCCTATATTTTTAATCACCTAACCATATTGTCTAGTATTGCCAGACCAAGGTAAATAAGAGTAGGGGTACTGAGCATACTTTCTTGACTTTATTTTGGGACACAATTATTAAATTGGAGTTATAACTACATAATTTGAAATATTTTTCCCCAATATGTTTTTATTATTATCTAAAATGAGATCCAATCACTACATGAATTTTGGAGTCTTTCAATGTAGGAAATCTTTCTCTTAAAGACTTTCCTTTATTGGTTACCTGCTTCTCTCTTAGAAGTTTTACCAACTTCCAACTCATCAACATTCTGTTTCAGACATTGTATTTACTACACACAAAATGAAACCTGCGTGTTTAACAAATCTAGGACAACTTTTGTCTTATCAGTAGTGCTCAGAACACAAGACATCAAAGCAAAGCAACACACACGATGAAGTTATTAAATACCCTTCTTGAACACAGTCCTCAGTGGCCGCACACTATTTTGTTAAGTGGATGTAATCTACATCCTTACTCAGGCCAATCTTTATGCCAAGTCTCATCTTCTCTTGTTACTCTCAGTCTGCAAATCTTCTTCAAAGTCATTTTTTTGTATTATTTTCCTTATTCACATCTTTCAATCCATGTCACTCTTGTGATTAACAAATTCTGAAGAATATATTTTAATTATTTTTTTTATATATCAAAACTGTCAATCTGAAAAGCTGATGAATACCTTTACTCTTCCTAAAAGTCTAAATGAGCTGCTCTTAGCTGATAAGGACTTCAAGTGATTTTCATTTTTTATGGGCCAAGATACCTAGATATAAAAACACTTCCTTACCACCTACCATGTGTAATTCATGTTTATTTGTCACACCACTTCTAAACTGTGTGGTATGAACAGGATGAAGGTTTCAGTTTGTGCTGGTGCAGACCCAAGGAAGGGATTCAGAGTGAAGGACGGCTCTCCCTCCCAATGTAGCCTCTTAGCTCTTGCTCTTTGCCCAATGCCACGCACTGCCCTTTTCACATAATCTTAATCTGCTAAGCAAGCTGTTATTGTGCTAGACCCTACGCCTGGAGAGGGGCATTCAGGACCAGGCACTAGACTTAAACAGAGGCTTTGATGCTGGAGTGTGGCCAGAAGAGAGTCACCACAAGGATGAGGGGACTGGAAACCAAGTCTCATAAAAATATTATACTACATAACATACAATGAGTGTCTACTATATGCCAGGCACTATTCCCAAGTATCTTGTTATCTCATTTAATCCTCAGAGTGCCCCAATGAGGATGCTTCTATTTTTATCCTCATTTTGCAGATGAGGAAATTAAGACAGAAAAATTAACTGTCCAATGTCACACAGCTAGTATATGGCCAAGCACATCTTAAAAGCCTATGCCTTCAGTTGGAGGAAATGAGGAAGAGTAAGTATAGAGAAGCCGTAACACCCGTCTTTAAATTTCTGAAGAGCCTTCATATGGAAGAAACCGTAAATTTGTTCTATAGGTGCTTGGAGTGTACTCTTTGGACCAACGGGTGAAAGTTACTGATAAGATTTCTGGTTAACATATGGAATAACTTTCAAAGAATGAGATGTATTTTTAAAAAGAATAAGTGATCTTGAGAGGTAGGGAGTTACTACTGGAAAAGTCCAAACAGAGACTGGATGGTCCTGGTTGGGGATGCTGGCAAAGATATTCAGGCACTTAGTGGCTTGGATTAATCATCCTCAAGGCCTTGAGATGATGCTAAATGATTCAGTCTCTCATTTTCAGCAGAGCAGAGTTGTGTATTATGGGTAAAGTGGCAACATTTAATGAATTCCAAGTTGTCTACATTACAGAAACAAACACGTCAGGATTGAAGGGTTGATTTATATTAAGCAAAGTTGATAAAAATACCTTAAACTCTGCAACAGAAAATTTGAATAGACTCTGATAAAGCAGCAGCTGTGTACATAAAGGAGGTCGTGCAGTATAGAGCTAATGAACCTGGATTCCACAGCCAGACTATGTGGGTTCAAATCTCAGTTCTACCATTTACTAATTGTGTGACCTCAGGCAAGTTACTTAGCTGCATTATGCCTCAGTTTCCTAACATGTAAACCACATGTTAAAAACACTATCTCATTTTTTAATTCCTGTGAGGATCAAATGTATCTATATATATAGAGAGAGAGAGAGAGAGAGAGAAGCAAGGGAGAAGAAAGAGCCTGGAACATAATAAGTAATAAATGCTTGTTATTCCAAAGAACGTCCATGAAATTTTAAATATTCAAACACTATAAAAGGTAAATTATTTTTAATTTTATTAATTGTTACAAATTGATACATTGTTTTGAAAAGAGAGAAATCAGCACAAGCAAATAACAGAAACATAAGTCAAGAAATTATTAGGCCACGATACATTTAAAGTCTGACTTTTAAGATGTCTTCTAAAACTGTTTATTTATTCTTACTTATTTTAAACAATCAACAGTAAGTACTTCATTGAGCATCTATTATTATGCCTAGCACAACGAGAAATACTTTAAGGAAAAATATAAGAAGCGCATCGCTTGGTCCTTGTCCTTAAATAGTTTATAATGTAGCTATTTGTGATTGTAAAGACACTTAAAAATTCTAGGACCTAAAACCTTTAAGTAAAATCATTTTTGAAAGTAATCACTTTGGAAAGTTATGCACTTATTTCAATAATCCTACCATTGCTCAAAACATTTTTTGCATCTTTTCCTTTGGGATTGCCTTTGGAGTCATTACACAAATCGTTTAAGAAAAGCAGACTCGTTTTAATTTAGAATGCCATTCCATTTTCCTTAAGCACGTAGCTTAGTCACCTGAATTAATCACTAGGGTTGGTGCTCAGTGACTTCTGGTTGTTTTAAAATCTCAAATTCACCCTAAAAGACAAGGTTTGCTACCCTTGATGACTTTCAAAAGAATGCACTGCAGCATTACTGGACAGTAAGTGCCCAGAACAAGGAGCTTTCCCATCACCTTTGCATCTCCCACAGCATCCGCTCTCGGTGCTCAACCACAGCAGGGGCGCACCACGCTGGTGTTGATTGAACTGAAGGGCCTGCAGCACATAGCTGTCCAGCAGCTGGAGTTGTCAGGGTGGGCCGAGGATAAAGGCCAGGAGGAGTTCCAGGTGGAGCTTGAGGGAGATTTCTCTCTGTTCGATTATTGTAGTGTTTTCTTCACTATTTCTTAGGCGTCTGGCTTTGACAGTGGAGGACAGAAAGGTCTGCCCGAAGCCGGCAGCAGATTCTCCCAATACTCCCTTCTAGCCCTGCATTTAAAAAAATATATAGTTAATTAATTAAAGAACATACCTATCTTACAAGTTCAATACATTATATATATATTTGCCAAATATGCATAAGTTTGGTGGATAAGCAGGCTAAAGTAGAACTTGAGTTTCAACATACGGACAGAAAAACTACGTCCATATCCGTTAATGCCAGGGATCCTTCTCACATTTCTAACTTCAATAACAATCATTGGGTTTCATACCGCCTTTCAGAAAAACACAATGTGTTTGAATTTTACATGTTTTTGTGGATTACATTCATTCTGAAATTTCTAGCAGAGTCCTTCTAGCTATACTCAATATTTTAATGTAATGACAAGTATATGAAGATGGTTTTTAAAAAAATTTTTTTTATTGATGTTTTAATGGTTTCTAACATTGTGAAATTTTGGGTTGTCCATTTTTGTTTGTCCATCACCATATATATGACTCCCTTCACCCCTTGTGCCCACCCCCACCCCCCACTCCCACTGCCCCTGGTAACCACAGTCCAGTTTTCTCTGTCCATGTGTTGGTTCATATTCCACATATGAGTGAGATCATACAGTGTTTGTCTTTCTCTTTCTGGCTTATTTCACTTAACATAATATGCTGCAGGCCCTGAAGATGGTTTTTAATGTAATGAGACAAAGTGTAATTCTTCAAAAAGTAACTATAAACAGAATACAAATTACTTCATAAGTATTTGTTTCTTGTTTTTAGACAAACAGAAGACTACAACAGTTTCTGGTCACAGATTTTTGTGTTAAATGTATTTTTACAGTTTTTTTCCACTTTACTTATGAAACAATGAATAAATCAATATTTTTGGATGATGAAAATGTCAGAAATGTGGGGTGTCTACAGGTTTCTGTGTAATCACAAATTTTTGTGAACATCAGTATATTTGTGAGTTCAGGGTGCAAGGAATGTCTGGCTTTATGCTACAGAACAATGTTTTATCTTTAATTGCTAATGCATTTTAAGGATCTCTAAAAAATGATAATTAAATAAGCCATTTCTCACTTATTTGAACTATTTTAATCATCACCAAAGTATGCTTTCCTTGCCTTTTAATTATATTTATTTTTAGTACTTTTTTCTAAGCATGACACCTATAAAAACAATCTTCTCTGATAAATATCCATATGTCCCAGAGGAAATGTTTGGCTAAATGATTTCTTGCCTACTTTTACAATCTAAATAAATTTACATTAGGAAAGTTGTCCCAGTTCAAAAGTGAAGACTGTTCTAAGTACAAAATGGATTAAATACATAACAGATAACAGCACTGAATAGAGAAGAGGAGACAGCAGAGACTGTGACTGGTTTCTAGAAGATGGAAAAGGGATGGCATTGTATTGACAGATGAGAGAGAGAGACAGAAAGCGGCAATGTTCAAAACAGATCAATCATTTAAGGGGCTCCCAGAAAAATGTCTTCAATACAGTCACATGTCGCATAACGACGGGCATACTTTCTGAGAAATGTGTCGTTAGGCGATTTCGTCATTGTAGGAACATCATAGAGTGTACTTACACAAACCTAGATCGTAGAGCCTGCTACATACATAGGTGCCATGGTACTAATCTTATGAGACCACTGTCATATACCCCGTCCCTCGACCAAAACGTCATTATGCGACGTGTGACTGTAGTATAATTTAGATATTGGGAGACTTTAGAGAAAGCCTGTTATTCTTCTTTCAACAACGAAAAAGGAAATTCATTAGAAATTCCTAGAAAACCAAATGTTGTACAAAGAAAGTCACAGTCCACGTATGAAGCAAATTAAAATATGGCATGAGTTTGGACTAAAGATGAAACGTAAGAAAAGAGAATCAATTTGACCTTAATGCTTGGAACATTCTTCTACAAGTGGCCCAAGTTTTTAAAAATAGGATTATTTCTCTTTCTTCATAGTTCCATGCTTACCGCTTGGTTCTGCAGTGAATAATGTTTAGAAAATCATTACCAGGGTACCAGGATATTACATTGGAAATTTTATTTAAGGCCCTAAGATGTGATAGATATCAGGTATCAAAGCAAGACAGACACTCTGCAGAAGTTTCAAAGTAGGCGGCCAAGAGCTGGTCAGATGACTCACCGGACTCTACACTGGAAAATCGAGACCACAGAGACCAATGGGCCACTACTTTGCTTGTGAGTTAAGAGGGTGCCGTTAAATTGGGATCAGACCACAGATTTGCCTGCATGAGGGAAGGGTGAAGGTCCTCTGGCCTAATAAAAGAGAGAGAGAGCCAGCCTGGAGGTGTTTAGAATCACCAGGAGGGACAATGGAACCCCGCAGATAGGGTAAATCTGGAGTGACCTGCTGAAAAAGCCGGGATCTGAGGGGGAAGCAGCAGTCAGAGAAAAATGCAATGCTTGTGGCATGAAAAGTATGGACAAAAGTTTTCAGTGGAAGCCTCTGAAGAACCATTCTTCTGGTTCTGAAGAACAAGGAACCACGTTCATTGAGACCTGCCAGGCCCAGAGAACGCCATCTTCCTTATAGGGAGCCCGTCAAGTAATAACATTTTACTCTCTCTTCCCTCCTCTCTCCTCTCACTCTGAATATGAAGAGGTCAGAAACCAGGAGTAGCAAGATGGGAAGGGAGGGTTGGAAGCATAAGACAGAGCAAGAGAAGGATCAGGCTCGCCTTCCTGGATTTCCCACCCGTTAAAGGTGTCTGCTGGCAAACAGAAGATTTAAGTGTGAAACACGCTCTAAGTTTTGATTTCACATGGAACCGAACATTTTAAACTACTGAACTGAGACTGTCTTTGCTCAGTCAACTGATCATGGGGCTTTCTATTGCTTAAGAGTACACAAAGAAGTTCCAGGCCATGTCAGTATTTTCCAACAGGGACTTTTGAAAATAGTCCTTTGTGTAGGGGCTACAATCGTTGGCGTGAACTGCCGATTTGGGCCAAGGACCAGCTTGAAGACTGTGAAGCTCTTTATCGTCTCGGAAGGAAAGGAAAGAATTCACCCATTGGGCAGGTTTAAAGAGACAGAGGGAGACAAAAATAAAGTTGCATTCTGATTATATTTCATGAGTCCTGCTTGTTTAATATGACAATTATAATAATACTGTAAATGTTATTTACTAACTTTACATTTTAATAATAAACCTACAGACAAAGCTTGGAAGACCTAATTATAATGACAGAGCAGGACACAATGGTTATAAACTTGATGATGTCAAAGTAATGGTGTAACTTAAAGAAGCCAAGAGGTAGATGAGGGAGGAAAAGTAGAGGGAAGCAGGAGGAGTCAGTTCTTGTTTTACGGAGAGTGGAATCCAGAGATCCTGCCTCCTACCGACGGATTAAGCAACAGGTAGTTAAATACGAAATTCAAACTTAGAAAGATACCCAACAGAAGAATAAAAATGCAATAAATCAAAATTGGGAGAAGGAGAACAGGGAGAAAAGTGGGAGATTATATGATTTAAATTCCTCAGTTTTCATAAAGTGTTATCAATAATTTCTGCTCAAAATTGATAAAACAAGAAATAGAGGTACAAGACTTCAAAACACAAAGGCAAATGGATCATTCCCTCTGGAAAAGGGACTGGTGTCAGGAGGGGCAACTTTGATGTTTCATTTTATACACTTTTCTACTTTTTGAATTTTTATTACTGTGTGCATGCATAGTGTTTATAACAATAAGTAAAGTGAGATTAGAGGGAAATAGTCATGTTAATTAAAAATTCCTACCTGGCTCTAATCCAGGGTTTGGTGTGCATATTGAGGCCACTTCCCCAACTACCATGTTTGTCCGAAGCCGGAGGCCAAAAGCCCCTTTCTGGGGCCAGCTCCTCTGCGATCGCCCTGATGTGGTAGGGCTCAAATCCACAGCACCCGCCAATGTACCTGACCCCCAGGTTGTAGGCCTCTCTGGCATAGTTTTGAATGTCCCATCTCGTTGCAAGTCTGGGCTCCAGTGCTGTAACACAATAATCATGGCGTTTCTGTTACCGTCCCTATTATCAAATGATACGTGCTCTGATGGGCATTTTTTTTAAATTAAAAAAAAAGATGAACTTTAGATTGAGTGTTCTTCAGATAGCTCATTTTTGGTTAACGTTGGATGTTTTTGTCTTATACAGTCTTGTATTGTAAGACTGTACCATAGTTGTTCATTGTAGCCGTTTCCATTTTGTCACAACGAGAAATCACGGGGACCTCTGACACGTGCCTGAGCTTACCAAAGGGGTATTCTGGGAGATCCACAAACCCTCCTTTGCCGCAGTCGGGCGTGTGGAACCCCAGGGGCTGCACCATCAGGTGCGCCTTCAACCCTGCGGCACGTAGGCCCTCCTTCATGAGCTTCATTGTCTGCAGGCTGGTCCTGGGCCCAAATCGACAGTTCACGCCAACGATTGAAGCCCCTACGAAAAGAAATCAAGAATTTTACATTTTATTTATTTACTTTTTTGTTTTCTCTTTTAATAGTTGGAAGGTGCCTTAGAGATTAGCTGTCCCCCTCTACCTCCCAAGTTTTACAAATAAGGAAACTGATTCCAGGTAATTCTTGTATTTCCAAACTGCTCTCAAAATATTAAGCAAAATTTGCTAAATTTCATAAAAAGTAACTGAAGTGCTTATCACATGATGAGTCCAAATGACCTGCTTTCACCAGCTTCACAGCACACTCTCCAGGTGTTACGCCATGCATGTCTCCCTCTGGTCCTGTGCACATGGTAGCTGCCACAGGTTTGCCGGGTTCTTTTAAGACTTCCACAGCCCACACAGCTTCTTCAGCATGCTCAAAATACTAAAAGAAATTTCGTTTTTTCTACCGGTCCAAATAAAAAGCATACTTTGAGTGGTAGAATGCAAATATTACAAAACAGTTATAAAAATTACAAATATATAATATGTGATAAAACTTGCTAAGGAGTGTGTCTCTAGCAGACTAAAGAATACCATTCTGAGTAAATATTTTAATTCTTTTAACAATAACATAGATTTCCATTTGGAGATCATCAATTCAGTGACATGATGCCTGTTAAAAAAACACAAAGGTTTTTTTAAAGTAATTAAGTACTTAAAATTATAAGTTTGAAGGAACAAAAGTTTTACTTATAAATTTTGGACTCATTTATAGGCCTGGATAATCTCTGAAAAATAATGAGTAGTTTATCATGCTTTATACTTCAGAGTCTTTTATATCCAATTCTCGTTGATATTCATATGTGCTCATAAAGTAGGAAGAAACATGATTATTTTCCCAGAGGAGACCATTGAGGCACAGGGTGGAAGGGAGAGCTACTTGGTTTTTTTGCCGATGGTGGACAGGACACCTTGTCTGGTAAACCTATGCCATTTGCAGGGGTGCTTCCCAGGAACCCCCTTAAGTACCATAATTAAAAGCTGACCTTAAGGAAGTGGAGAAAAGCCAGCAGAAATCTCCCTGTTTCTCCTTCTTGACTTAGAGACAGATTCTGTAGAAGCAGTGTGTGAGGAATGAAGACAGAGCCAAAAGAGAGGTTCTTAAAAAGAGGCGTGTTCCCATCCATCTGGAGAACACATAGGGCGGAGTCTGTGCTTGTCTCTGCAGGGGACTGTTCCCGGCGCATTAGCCAGGCGTGGGTGGCCTTGAGCCTTGGGAGAGTTGACGGAGCAAGGTTTTCAACGGGTTCAATGGAATGACTGGGGAAACAGCAGTTGCAAGGCTCTTGTACTGGTTTGGGGTAAAAACTTGGGCTGAGGGCTCACCTCCAGGTGGGAGCAATTGTGATGGAAAAAAGGAATGAGGGCTTTTTAATTTTTGGAAGTGGAAGGCAGAGAATTTCTGGGCCTTCACGTCCAATCAGTGACCAATTCTTACTGATTCTTTCTTCGAAATATCACTCATATGCTATAGCTGGAGCAAAAGCAGAGAGGCAGGAGTGAGCGAGGCATGGATGGAGGAGGGCAAGGCGACAACTTGGTACTGAGTACATTGCTGGGGCTTCCATGAGCCTGAGCAGCCACCTGCATCCTAGGCTTTGCTCCCTCAAGCCTCTAGCCCACACACGCAGCTCCTTCCAGCCCAACCCTCCCACAGGGGAGGATGCTCCCTGAATCACTGTCCCTTTCCTCTCACCCCACATTGCAGCGTCCCCCAGAGTCTGCACCCACCCAGACCTTAGAAAACCACAGGTGACAGTCAGGCCTCTCCTGGGTTTCTCCTTTGGCTTCACAGAGAACCTGGTATACAAGTGAGAGGATGTTGGCCTTGACTATAGTGCATTTAAATAAACCTTTTACATCTACATGGAGGAAAGGAGGGCCTAAGGCAGTCCAATACCCTCATGAAAGCTGAAGACTATGAGGTTAGACTTGTCAAAATAGGTTTAATCCTTTCCCTATAGTACTAGGCTTACCTCTGCAATCAAGAAGTCCACATCTTTCCTGGCAAAAACCTCTAGCTGCTGTCGAAAAAGTTTTTTAATTCTAGCTTCATCCTTGTGGCGTTTGTATACCGATGTCTGGCAGATCCCCCCTGCTACCAAAGCATCACCTTTGTCAGCCACTTCCCGGGCCAGGTCACAGGCAGCGGCGTTTACGTCTTCCCACTGGGGTCAGAGAGCAAGAGTTGAGATGTGAGCCTGGCATTTTAGAGGTAAAATATGATAGATAACAGAGGGAGCAATGAGCAAGTAAGATGAGTACAAGTCACTGGTTTAAACTGCAATTTGAGAAGACCAGCAGAGTTGGGTGCCATCTCCTCTACTACCAGTGAGCTGGTATTTCCACTATTGTACTCATCACTGGGTTTTAGTAAATGTTTATTTGTTTGCCTCCCACACTTGACCGTGACCCACTTCAGAACAGGGTCAATGCCTTTGTATCATCTTTGTATGTAGCATAGAGAATGGACTGTAACGGGTACTCAGCAAATGTTGGTTGGTTGAAGGAATAAATGGGCATTAACATTCACAAGTATTAACACTTTACATTTGCAGAATATCTCATGATACTTCCACATCCTTCACCTTATCCACTTTTCTCAACAACCCTATGGGTTTAAGCAAAGGTTATCTCCATTTTGCAGAGAAAACCAATGCTCCATGCAGGTAACTGTCTTGGAAAAAGTCACACAGCTAATAGGTGGCAAAGTTGGGTATCAAACTCAATTCTTCTCATTCCTAGGCCAGTGCTGTGTTCCCTAGGACCACCCTGTCTCCAGATGGACAAGTCAGAAAAGAAGAATGTGAAATGAGAAAGTAAAAAGAGCATCGATAAAGTGTTCTTTCTCTACAGAGAAGCAGCACAGAAGGCTGGCCGTGCACTTCCAGTGGCCTGTTCTTTCCCAGTCCTATTCCCTCCCCGTCCCCTAGCTAAAAAGATAGGAAAAGTTCGTTTATTTAGTATGTATACATTTATGTAATAATTAATTACTTAATAGATATTTTATGTGGAGTTTTTCATAAAATGTAGTAACATATCAGGTCAATTCCATAGCGTCCCATCACGAGGTTATTTTTATTACAGATGCTTCCTGCCTACCCCACCAACACCCCCCACCAGACAGGCCAGCATGACAGTTTACCTTGCTTTCCATATTTTCCTCACTGGCAGAAAAGGTGAAAGTCTGCATGACATTTGATCCCGCTCTCAAGAATTCCGTGTGAAGCTGACGAACTACAAAGTAGTTGTTTTTTTAATTGAAATTAAAAAATTAAAAATCACAGAAGCTATGATTTTCAGCAGCAGCAGCAGCTCACTCACTTCTCTTTCAATCATACACAATTTCAAACCTAGTACTTAAAAAAATTGCATATAAGTAAGGTCTGTAGAATTCAAGGACAGGACACGGCAGAGTCCACACCAAATCAGGGCTGTTTAGAGTAGCCTCAATTGTCCCACTGATGGGCCTCATGGCCTGGTGCAGTCATGTGCAGAGATTAAGGCCTAGTTGGCCTACTGTTCCTTGGTCTCTTAGTCTAGAGAGGGTTTATTCATTTGCCAGTGTCATGAAGGATGTAACGGGTCTACTTACAGCCAGCATGGGGAGCCCTCAAAGCAGAATGAGGAAATTCTCATAGTGGGCAGATGTATCTGGGTGGTGCCCCCATCAGATGGATTCAACGGCAAGCAGCTGGGAGACACAGTCAGGGAGCTTCCTTGGCCCATCAGAAAATCCTTCCTCTCTCTCTCATCTCCCCCCAACCCCAAACCTTATCCTTGCTATTTCAACACTTTCTTCTTGGCTTAGCAAAAAGATCTTCTAAAATTAAGAACAAGTTCTTCTTGGGCCAGCTGAAAACTTCCCACTAAGCACCAGAGAGACAAAACTTTGTCCTACCATGTAACTGTGGGTGTCTGATGAAACGATAGTACCAGCCGTCAGGTACTTCTGCTATGTGGGCATTTCCCATGGTAACTCACACATCCCCACGACTAGCCCGGGTCATGCCCCGTGTAACAGATGAAGAAACTGATCCTTAGTCAGATTTAAGCAAACCGTCACCCAGACAAACCCTGGCGGAGTGCAGGCACCGACCTGCGTTTGGATGCTCGGTGACGGCTTCTGGAGTCCAGAGCCCAGCCTTCACGTAGCCCCTCTTCTCCAGAGTAATGAGAAAGCTGCCATCTCCAACCACAACCTCCCCACTCTCCAGACGTTCCAGAATACCCTGGAGAAAAGAAAGAAAAATCACCTAAGACCCCTCTTTTATTTCCCTAAAGGCAGTTTCTAATTTTAGGAAAGGTCGTACTATGTTCTTACAGCTCTAATTCTGTTAAATCGTCAGTGTCTAATAGTATTTCAGAAAGATGGAGTATACTGTATTTCTTGGATAATCCAGGTACTTGTTTTGTGCAAAGTGCTGTGACTATTTTTTGTCAAATAACATTTAATCTGAGTCAAATTAGAGTGAAAGTGCTGATTCTATGATAGTTATTTTGGTTTTTCAACATGTCTGTGGCAGACACTGCTAGTTGCCTAACTAATATGCATTTTCTCTCTTCTTTGCTAATGGATTTTGTTTGGGGAGACAATGTCCCCAACTTAAAAAAAAAAAATTCTCAGGCTCCCTTGCTGCTGGGGGTGGCCATGTGACATGGTGCTGGCCAGTGAGGCACAGGTGGAAGTCTGCTGAAGATTTCCAGAAAGTTTTGCTTTTCTGATATAGATGCTCACTCCCTTCCATGATTGGAACGTCAACATAAGCCCTGGAGGTTCAGCAGTCGTCTCGCCGCCATGCCGTTGAAAGCCACACGCTAAGGTTGGGGGAGCCGACTGATAGCAGCAGCCTGGTGTCTTCATGACATCCTTGAGTGGCTGCAGCAGCCAGGGACTGTTAGACCTCTTGTTAGGTGAGAAAAATAAACCTCTTCTTTGTATAAACCACTGAACATAATCCTAACGGACACAATGTTTCATAATTATGCCCTACATTTTCTAGCATGTTCGTGTACATGTTATCATTTGGTACTCCCAACAACTCTGTGAGCTAGGCAGGGCAGACAATTTTTATTCCCATTTTATAAATGAGAAAACTGAGGTTCAGAGAGGCCAAGTGACTTGCCCAAGATCACAGAGCTAAGTAAGTAGAAAAGCAGACTTCAGATCTTCTACATTCCTAATCTAGTCTCTTTCCAGTTTACCACCCTTCTATTCAGCCCAACCATAACTTCAATGAAAGTTGTATCCAGAGCAGTTATCCAAGGGCTTCAGTTCCCATCGTCTGGAATGTGCCTCCCCCAGATTCCTGCATGGCTCACCTCTCACTGTCTTCAGGTCTGGTCAAGTGTCATCTTTTCTGAGGCCTTCCCTGACCACCCCATAAAAAACTGCAAACACCCCCATGGCAATCCCTATCCCGCTTGGATAGACTGAATTAGTTGAAGATACAACCTTTCATTGAAAATACAAGTCCTGTTCATTTTAGCCCTGTGTACAGCTGGACACAGAGCAATTCATGAATGGGGGAGAAGTCTCCAGCTGTCCCTTCTAACCAGTCACATCTGCCGTCCTGGAAGGTATATTAGAAGCGGTTGCACTGGACGCTAAATACCAGGCTACCACAGCCACAGCATCTCCACTTTCCTGGGGAGGCACATTTTCATCTGTTATCTAGATGCTTGTCCAACATTTTAAATTTTGCTAGTTTTCTAAACAGCCATTAACAAAATATCTAAGTTATCAAGATTTGAATTCAGAGTACATTTTAGCCCCTCCTTCACTGCTATACTCACCACTTCAATTAATGACTACGCCAGGATGATCTAAAGAGCGCTCTAGAATGACAGAGGACTGTGTAAGATAAAGAGCTCTGTAAGTTCATTTGCAGTACATTTATATTTCCCTTTCACCATCCCTTTCAGTTTGGCAGTGAGTCTACCTCAGATCTGGCAGCGAACTCTGAGAGGCATTTGTGCCCCCCTTTTGCAGATCCCGGTATCCAGCTCTCTGGATTTACGATCTGGCTTCAGGGCACCTCTTTTCACACACACAGGAGAGAACAACCGCACCCTGTGGCAGGAGGAGGCCAGAGATCCCATCTGCCTCCAATATCTCCCCACCTGCCTGGATTTGCCACCAGGACTGCTCTTTGGATTCAAGAAGCAATTCGAAGTGTCGTCTGTGGCAATTAAATAAATTCTTCAAATGTATGTTAACTGAGAAGGAAGGTGAGATGAGCCCCTTTCCAGGACGTTTTAGCTCCCAGGTACACAGTAACATGGATTACTGGATGATACTCTCCATGTTGCAAGAGTAGAGACATGGAGAAGTTCAACAGGGACAGTATATTTTAAAAACCTTTTTTAAAAAATGAACTTGTAAAAGTGAACACAGTATTAGAGAAAGTTTAGAGAGATTAGCACAAGGTTCTTCGCTTCTTTATCTTCTTATTACACTCATTTTGTTCGATGCCCATAGTTTACTTTTATAATCAGAAAAACATCCAAAAATTTTTTAAAACTCCTTTCCACATCTTATGCAACTACCACCATTATTGTGTCCTTCCTTGTGTATATAAATATTACATAATTAGGATCAGTCTGTGATGTACTATATCTCCTTTTGTAACAATATTGCCAAAGCACTTTGCCTGTTCCCATACTTGGCTGCTAATAATTTACCAAGCTGATGGACCTTAATTTATTGAGGGAGCCCACTATTGCAGCCATCTTGGTTGTCCTAACTTTTTAGTAGAAATAAATCAGTGGTGCACATTTCCACGTCTCTACCGCCCCTTCCTTCCCCACCCTCTTTTGTGAATTACAGGGCACAGGTGGGTTGCTTTGGGGGGGTCCCGGAGAAGTCCCAAGTCCAAGTTCATGTCTTTCCCGATTTTGTTTCGTCACCCTTTCTCTCTACGACGCACAGACTCGGCGCAGAAATGGGGGACAAAGCCGACAACTGGCGACCACATGGGAAAAGGGGTCGAGAGAAGGAGCCGGGAGAGGGGGTCTGCCGGGTGGGATGAGGCAGAGGGGTCCCCGCGCGCCCCACCACCCGCCGCGAGTCCAGGAGTGTCCGCACCGGGGACTGGTTTCGGGCCAACCCGTGCGGCTCGCAGGGCCAGACTACTGCCTTTCCCAAAACACAAGGGAACCGAGCTCCGGGGGCCGCTGAGCCGGAGAGCTGTGGGTGCGGGTCGGGGAGGGCAGAAAGTGTGAGCGCGCCCTCTGAGTCCGAAGGCTAGACTTCCAATCCCCGCGCCCCCGCGGACTATCGCTGACTCTGAGCCAGTGGGCTGACTCTGAGCCTCAGTTGCCTCACCTGTAAAATGGGGATAATTGTGAAGAGGAGAGAATTTGCGCAGAGCACTCGCGCAGTGCCGGGCACCGAGTCAGGACTCAGTAAACGTGAGCCAAGATTGTGATCTGATCCTCCCACCAAGGCAGTATCGTCATCCTGGCTCCTCGCGCTCGGGTAAACTGAGGCCCGGCGCCGAGACTGCAGAGCTCGGTTAGGGACTGAGGTGGGATCTGGACTCCGGCGCAGGGAGCCCCCGGCCCGGAGGGCGGCCTGAGGACCCGCGCGCCCCCAAACTCACCTTCTTGGCCCCGGGGCCTGCGGCCGCTGCCATCGCGCCGCGGCTGTGCGGGCGCCGTCCCGGGAGCGCGCC